ATTTTATACTTTTCCTTTTTGTCAGCTATCTTTCTTTTTTTTCTCTTTTTTTTTTTTGGTGAGTGCAATCAGGGTCAGGGGTTATAACTATTCGTTACTTCTTCATGAGCCTGCTAGTGTTTTAATTTACATGTCAGCACTTACTAGAATATTGATGAGTTTCCTTCTATCCTCATTTCTATTCACACTGTCCTATCAAGTTCATCATTAAGGTGTATGGCCGTAGACACAGGCGTTAATTTTCTCGATGTGTGATGTTTTTCAATACTTTTGTTCAATTTATGAAGCTACAGGAATTTCTTATTATTGGGTTGGTGCATAATTATCAGGCGTTTTTGTAGGCGAGTTATTTGTTAATAAAAAAATTGCCGTTTTGTTTACTTTTTTAAAATATTATTTTATTTTCAGGTTTTAAAAATGCGTGTCAATAATCATACACTCCGGAATAATCATTGAAAAATGTTATTGTTGAATTGTTATGTTTCTTTTTTCATAATAAATATTGTTTAAAAATGCCTGATAATTATGCAGCAACCCAATATCAATGCTGCCAATGATAATGTCTTTGATGAGATTTTTAATTTTCTCTAAGTTTCTAAAAAAAAAAATTAACAATGGTATAATTTTCAATTCGATTTATCCTGTTTTATAAAATTTGATTCCAGTTTACCAAGATATGCAAGACTGTTCCACAGTTACTTTCCGTCTGTTGATTATTGTTTTGACTATTACATATTTCGCAATTCCATTCCAACGACTTGGCTAAAAATTCTGAATGTTTTGAAGAATATTTTCCGTTCATTTAAATTTTGGCTAAATTTTATTCAAACATAATTAATCCATATATAAACCAAAGAGGCCAGCTACGCCTGAAAGAATTTAAATCAGCTAATCCAGAATAATAGCATACTAATCTAGAAAGGAATAAAGTGAATAATCTTAAAAGAATAAAATATAATCGAAAAAGGACTAAAAACAACTAATCCAGAAATAAAATACTAACCTAAGAGAAAGTAAAAACAACTACAAAGAATTAAAATTTATCCAGAAGGAATAATAACATCTAATCCATCAATAATAAAATACTAATCCAGAAAGAATTAAAATAACTAATCCAGAAATAACGTTAAAAATTTTCCGAATAGAAATAATATAAATAACCTAATCTAGAAGAAATTTAACACAATTAACCGAGAAAGGCAAAAAATACAAATAAAAAATATCCATAATTTATTATTAGTATTAGTATTATTAATAGTAGTAGTAGTAGTAGTAATGTTGTTGTTAGTAGTAGTAATAGTCTAACTAATAGTTTCTCCTGGGTGGTTTTATTTTGCTTGTAAAACCATAGGTGAGCCCTTTTACTACTGGGTGGTCCTTTATTTTGGCCTCACTGGTAGCAAGTACCAAATACTCCCTGAATATGTCTCACTTCAAAAAAAATAATTTCAAGCCGTAACAGTTGGTGACAAAATATACAATTATGAAAGTTTGGGGAATTTTTAAAAAACACACTCACAAACAAATGTATGTATTGTCTGGGTTAATCTTACCCAGAAATCTTAACTAGTTATATATTTTTACACTCACACTGGGTATCTGATATATTTATATATAATTACTTTACAATATGCTGGTATTCGTCTATTTTTGAATCTCTCTATCCCCTCTCTCTCTCTCTCTTTCTCCCTCTTTCTCTCTCGCACACACACACACACACACACACACACACACACACATATATATATATATATATATATATATATATATATGCTCGCTGGACTGTGCTTATTTATTTTATAACGTCTGCATATCAGCAGAATAATTTGCAGTTGATTCTATAATAATTTCTAATATAGCTTCTATATTAAACTCGATTCTATAATAATTTCCACTATATTTCTTCAGTATAGTGGATACTATTATGACTCAAGGAAATGTCTACAGTAAAATGGATTTTATGATAATTTGCAATATAGTTTCTATATTAAATTTTCTTTAATAATAATTTCTGTAATAAACTCTAATAATAATAACTTATAATAATTCACAATACATTTCTACGGTAAAGTGTATACTATATGACTTCCAGAACATTTCTACAACAAAATGGTTTCTATGATAATTTTCAATAAAACTTCTGTATTAAAATTGATTCTATAATAATAATTTCCAATAAATTTATATAGTAAAGTGACTACGATAATAATAATGTCTTATATATTTCTATAAAAGGGAAGATACTATGATAATTTCCAATGCATTTCTTTTAAAAAAAAAACTACTCAAAAATAGTAATTATACATGAAATATTTGTATTCTCTCAAATTTTTTAAATACCATATCCCTTTAGAACGTGAATATTCAAGCTTCTCTACAGATTCCTTTTTTATTATCTGTGAATTTATTTCTTGGGAAAAATAATGGAGTGGATTTCCATAGTATTCCCTACGGTTTGGAATACTGTTAGTTGGGTTACCATCCAAGGCTATAAAGCCTAGTCTACCCTGCTATCAAGTGGAGTAGAATAGAAGTGTTCGTGCGTTTCCTATGGGCATTTCTTCAGATCGCAACAGATGTGGTCGGAATTGACCAGCGTTGCCGTTTCCACTTCCTTTGCGAATAAACTTTATCCAAATTCTTATCAATATCGTTTCCATTAATTACTAAGAATTCTTAATTTTCTTAAAGTACAAGGCATTTCAATAAGGAAATGTCTTACAATTTATTTCTATAATAATTTCTAATGAAAATCTAAAGTAAAACTCTGTAGCGAAGTAATAATCACTATTATAAAAATAGAGCTAATTGTCTGTCCGTCACACACTTTCTGTGTATACTTTTACATGAACATGGGTAATGTATATGCGTATGTCTGTGTTTTGTGTGGGTGAGTTTACATATGTGATTGTATCATTTAAGGCACATACAACATATACCGACAAGATTTGACTCCGTTTAAAATAAGATATTGGATTAATACATCCCACCTTTTATTCAATCTGGACAACCTCAACCTTGGGATGAGCAATAAAATAATATATTTGGAGACAAGAAAATAAACTTTATATTTTAAACCATAAAAAAATCAGATAATTATAAGATTTCATTGAAATTTGCGGAAATTATTCGGTTTCCCATAGCTAGCACCCTAACAGGTGCTACCACCCCGGGTCAGAGTGGACTTGAGAACAAAGAGGTAGTTCCACTCACCTCAAAACCTCTCGATCAGAGGCCTTTTTTACCGGAAATTATTCAGTAATAAAGAGAATTACTTTTTAATGATATTTAAAAAAGATTTATATCAATATTTTTAGATATGTCATAGAATGAAATCTACGTTTAAACGTATGCAATCACAGAATTTAAATGAAACTGAAACGAACGTCTGTGCTGCGACAGGTAATTTCACTCTGTCTGGCAACAATCCTTGGTTAATAGAGAAAGTGTTTAAGCCGCAATGTGCAGCCCTTTGGAGTCATTTTTATGACTCCAAAATTTAAACTGAATATATTTTATAAAAAAAAGTAGGATTTTAAATGCACGAAGAATTTAGATTTGAAATTTGATCATCGTCAGTGAAGCATCTGCTACCACCAGAAATGTAGTACTGAATACAGCTCTATTCACTCAGTAAGGCTTGATTTAACTCCTTACTGATGTTGATACGGAAATATAGTAAAACAAATTCATGGAAGAAAGACGCAATTCATTGACTAAGTAATATTTTTTCTCCTACTAACAGAATTATTTTTCAGGAGAAATGATTTAAGCGAAAATACAGCAACAATATCGTCAGTGTCTTCCTATTTCACTTGCCAGAATTTTAACGCTTATATTCATATGATATTGTTATTATATTGATATTATATTGATTTGATATTGATATAATATTATTATGCTGATGTGATATTGACATTTTATTGATATTATATTAATATCATATTGATATTATATTGATATGATATTGATATTATATTGATATTATGCAGATGTGACATTGATATTATATTGATATGCTATAGATATGATATTGATATACATTATTAAATAAGTCCAACCTGGGATATCAAAGACTATATAAGCTTCACCTTCTTCTATGTGTCGTATCCCTTCACCACGTGGGCGACCATGGGTTTCCACAATTTTCTATCTTTGTAGCTCTTAGCAGTGTTGGTAGTTTTGCTATCCCCTAAACCTATTTCTGCTACTCATTTATGCAACCTCGCTAAGTGGTTTATCTTCCGTTTACCTCTGTTCCTATTACTTTCTATATGTCTCGTGAGTGTTAAACTTTCGAAGACCTCTTTCTTTATTATGGGCCAGGAAATTTTCTCTGATTTTACATATAAGTGTGCTTTTTATTTCCATTTTCTCTGATACTTTATATCGTTACTCACATCTTCAGTCCATGGTATTCTCAGCGTCCTACGGTATAACCATATTTCTACTGCCTCTACTTCATTGGCGAGGAGATTGTCCAGCATTCACTGTCATATAGGAGGGCCGATGTTACATAACAGTCCAGTACTATTTTTAAACATCAAAGTTGAAATATTATAACAGCACAATATCATAAAAATATTGAAAAATAATTACACCTAAAATATTATTTATAATACACTAATTAATTTAAACAGTCTCACTCATAAGCGTTATTTTTTTATAAATTCATCTAGGGATAAATTTTGTGTGTGCTCGCAACTTACATCAATAAAATAAAATAGCCCGATGTTTAAGCGCACACTGTGGCAGGATATAACCTATGGTCATCATCAATGCGATGTGCCCATAAGCATACATATGGATCATTCGATATTTCACCAACCCAACCTATTTAGGGCAATGTGGAAGATATTAGAATCCCCGGGACTTAGAAATTCCTCAAAGCTTTTCCGTAAACTGTCCAAAGACAGAAACACGACAGAGGTGAAGGGCAGAAATCTATAGGTTCGCCTACCGTACGGTTTACACTTCTCCCCGGTCTTTTGAACAGAAGTAAAAACTGGTTCCTGTACGATCACCGAAGTTAAGCAACGTCGAGCCTGGTCAGTACCTAGATAGGTGACCGCTTGTGAATACCAGTAAGATTGGATCTGCAGGTTGTGTAAATGAATAATTGCTCAGAATTGTTAATCGGAGAGTCGAGTTCCAATTTCAGTTTGGATTTGTTGCATTCACTTATGCACAATATCTTTGGGAAAAGTAAGAATCTACCACGTCTCCCCCTCGATATGGGTAAATTAGTAAGACTTATATCACTAAATCAATATTATCTCAATTATTAAAAATTCTTTAATCTAAAATATTTTATAGCTTTAAATAACCCGCAAAGGATTGATAAGCTGTAGAAAACGAATCAATCAAAAATTGTTGTGAAAAATTAGGACTGTGATTCGAACAAATACTGTGAGGTGCCCAGTGCCAAGGAACAGCTTCCCGAGCCTGCACATCCCCATTGCTCTAAAGGAGATCGATAGTCATACTGATGCGGACGGTTACGGGGGCTGGGCAGTTTTTGACTTTGGCCTGGGCATTTCCCATGTTAAACCCGATTTTGAATTACAACCCGTCTCAGCGGAGAAACCAGACTAAATAACTATAGGCACTAGAAAACACTGTGACTTATTGGGCCACCCTTCGAGATAAAAATATGATGTAAAAAGGATGATCATTGAATTCTATCACTCGTAGATTTCGCTTTGATGGAATCCTTGATTCCTAATCGGCCCCAAGCATGTACACAAAAATATCAATAATAATATTTTTTTTATTTAAGTAAATAAATTTTCCTTTTTTTTTCCTTATCGATTTTTAGCCATACGTTTTCTTATTCCTTTCGAATATCTATTTCTCTACCTGTTCCAGATATGTTTGTTCGAATAATAATAATTATAATAATAATAATTATTATTATTTATATTCTATAATGCAACCATTGTTGAAATGAACAAAAGAAAATATTTCTCATCGATGTGAATGTTCCTGATGATCATAATATCAAGGTCAAAGGGATTGAAAAGCTTAAATAATACACTGACCTTCGGATTGAGGTTGCGAGATTATAACACTTTTGTCCCAGTTGCCATTGAGACGTTGGGATCGATACCCCTGAAACTAAAGACCTACAATATGAAAATCGGAATCAAGTCCAGTAACCCGTCGCTTCATAAATCTACGCTGCTGGACTCTGCAAATATTTTGCGAAATGTGCTATCTGTATGAGGTCGTATAACTTGATGGAGAACAACCATACTATAAGATCTTTGAGTAAAAACGGGAAATCGTGGGGAAGAATAGAAGATAATAGTAATTGTTGCAACTAGGAACTAAGGAAACCGAAGCACGGTTTCAGACACGGAAGTACCGTGTCGGCCATATTGTTTATGTGTTAATAAATGAACTAGAGATCGTTTCGGCGGTCAGAAAGCTTAATCTGAAATTGCATTGGCGTTGTTACTACAGACCCCCACTCTTACCAAGTTTTGACCACAGAAACAACAGCAGCAATAGTAATAATAATAATAATAATAATAATAATCGAGAAATTATTATTATTATTAACATCATCATCATCGAGAAATTGTCTAAATTCTATGACTTAGGGATCGAGATTAACAGGATGTGGGAAATGAAGACTGAGACTGTACCAACAATAATCGAAGCTCTGAGCCTCGTGAAAAAAGGAATGGACAATTTTACTAATAGATTCCTAGGTAACATCAACATACAAGTTGCGCAGAAGGTCGCCCTACTTGGAAGACCCAATATACTAATATTAGTACCATCAACTAAATCACAATTCTCCTATAGGGCCTAAAGATCATAGTTCGGACCCGGCTCTACGGGATACACAACAGGAAACATACACAAATAATAATAATAATAATAATACTAACAACAGTGAGATAAACTTCATAAAAGATATGTGTTGAGATGTTGTGAGTTTCCCGCGTGTCGGTGTATGAATCAAGACAAACACAGTTGTAGAGGAAAATACTGGTATATTCATAAAAGCAATTAACAATAGAGTGATTAGTAGAACGAAGGTTGGTTAGTACGAAACAATATCCAAAGTCTATAGACCAACGGTATGTACTGGGTAAGCTTCTCTGGACTGCTGTCGCTGACGCTCTGTCACTCGCTCTCCCGTCCGCTCTCTAGAGCTGACTTATATAAGAGGGACAAGTCCATTACTAGTTAGAAGGTGAGTGCGCCCCAACAATATGGTAATGTTATTATTAGCTGTACACTTATATGAAAACATTTGGTATTCGTTAAATGAGGAGCCAGAGCTACTATCGGCAGAAATTTATAAAATGTTTCTATTTTTTCAGGAAAATAGGTTTCTCAATCGATTAACTGTTATCGCTCTTTCCATTATTGATTATTCTTCCTTGCTAACCTTTTGTTCGAAGTAGTGTTCGAGTTACACGCACGTGATATCCATTTTAGTCCTTGTTGCTGAAAGTCCTAGGCAATATATATAAAAACAAACAACAACCCAATATGCATTAACAAAAATTCCATCCACCCACGCTAACGTATTCAAATACCCACATCTATAAATAAAAGAATTTCAACAAATCCTAGTAGCCTAAAAATATACAATGAAAACAAAAACCATATGAATTACCCCCTAGGAAACAGCGGATATTCAAACAAACTAGAATAAAAACACGAAAACAACAGAAAAAGAAACATAAATTTGGTTCCGTTAGGCGCCCCATACAGTATTAACGGTAAAAATTATAAATTATGCCTAGAGGTAAAATTAGTAATAATTAGTTTTAAAAACCAAAATCATCTCTTAATCAAGAAACTGGAATAATGGGTAAATGTAGGCATATAAATAAATAATTACTTCGCAATCTAAGCACTAATTAAAAATAAATTAATATGTAAAATAAATATAATATGCATAAGTGTATAAATACCCACATATGCACATAAATTCAAACAATAATAAATAAAAGCGTAATTATGAACCTAACCTTCAACAATTAATACTTAAGATACAAGGAATCCAAATAAGAAAATGAAAAGATAGCCTAGTGAAAATATATAAATATATATAGATGTGTATATATTTATATATATAAGTATTTATCATTTAAGCATTAATATCATATATATATATATATATATATATATATATATATATATATATATATATATATATTATTCAAGCATTAATATCTATTATTTATCTAAAAGCGAAATACAACTTTCCTATCACAAAAGACTAGAACGCTCAAAAATTAAAAACGGCGTCATGTCTAGAAGGCATAATAACTGGTCACAAATGGCCACAATTAAAAGAAAAGAGGAAAAGAAAAAGAGAAAAATCTAAGGAACGAGTGTAATGTTGAAAAAAAAAACGAAGAAAAGGACAAATGATCACGACACCCTACATATACGAAAATCCGCGCAGACGGGAGCATACACGCGAACGCACATCCGCGCAGATGGGAGCATAGTCGCATGCACCCAAACTCACGCACGAACACAAACAATACGAAAAAAAACATCAATGATAAGCACATAAAAAATAAAAAAATAAAAGTATATGCAGTCAATTGCTGAGTGGATGAAAAGGTCCTTCGACGGAACTCAGGAGTCGAGATGCTGAAGCTAACATCAATAAGCTAATTCACAAACATTTACATATATATATATATATATATATATATATATATATATATATATAACCGCCACCAAAGCTAACATTACCAAAATCACTCTTGTTTTGATATTCGCTCAAGAACCCACCAGAAAACTTCACCTGTGTATGTTAGTAATCTTTATCATTTTTATGATTTTGTAAGTATATATATATATATATATAGAGAGAGAGAGATAGATAGATAGATAGATAACTAGACTCGTTTCGAAAAAACCTCGAATTTTTGATTTGCTAATCAAATCAATCTCGAGGGAAAAAAAGGTTTTCAAAAAAGAAAGAGCTACAAACATGAACTTCTGCCGACAAAAAAAATCGCACAGATGCAGGTCTGAAGCCCAAAGAAAAACCCCGATACGAGTAACAACTAACTAACAAAAGAGCTCAATACAACCGTAGAGCAGACCTAGATACACCTAGTGAGCCAGACAAACCTACCTAGGTTTTACCTAAACGGATCGTCAGTGAAAGTTTGGCTTTTATATATATAAGCGCATGCTAACGTCTTCATAATTGATTTTCATATTAATTTATTTTCAATTCTCGAGACCCATACATTTAATGCAAATTTTTCCAACGTCTTTTTTCTGGGCGATGGAGTCCGTCCGCTTTCCTAAATACTGGGTATTGGGAATTTTTAGCTGTTTCACACATCCTGTCCATAACGCTCCCTCCGACCCATAATGCTTCTCCATTTTAAGCCTGAATTTGTTTTTAATAGATAACTTACCAATTGCCTCCATTGCTCTAATAAGTACCTGAATCCGCCTGCTATCCTCTACCTTTATAAGAGCCAGATCAGACCAAAAATGGTGTACTGTTGTCATATTTGAACGGAAGCTGGCCAGAATTCACCCTCCAATCTTGATAGAGTCCACAAGCGTCTCCGAGCTCTTGTGAGTGACGCATTATTCTCCATCCTCCAATCTCTCTTCCACAGGCGCGATGTAGCAAGCGCCTCTTGCTCTATGACCGCTACTTTCACGGAAAGTGCTCGGACGAACTACATTCTCTGGTCCCGCCATGTCAAACATTTACGGCAAGAGCATGTTATGCCACTTACATAGTAGCAAACAACCCACATTACCTCAGTATTCCATCGGTGAGAAGCCAATTCCACTCGAAAATCTTCTTTTTTTTCCCGCAAACAACTGCCATGTGGAACCAACTCCCAAGGGGATGTTTCACCGATCACTATAATCTTAACCCGTTCAAGGCGAGGAACAAACGTTATCTTCCACTCCTATATGAACAAATGGCCTCCTAACGTAACCATCTACCTCGAGTGGACGTCGGACTTGTAAAGGGTGAACCTTACTGTATATATATATATATATATATATATATATATATATATATATATTATATGGATATGTGTGTATTTTATTTGTATATAATATA